ATATATATATATATATATATATATATATATATATATATATATATATATATATATATATATATATATATATATATAGAGAGAGAGAGAGAGAGAGAGAGAGAGAGAGGGGGGGGCAGTGTATGTCCTGTTAGTAATTTCTTTGTCAAGTTGCAAAATAAAATAATCACTTATAACTTGAAAGAGTAGATTATGAATTTGATATAGATAATGATTTATGGATATGAAAAGTCATAGTTTGAATTTTGAGCATTCCTTGATGGTTAGAACTATGGCTTCTAAAATTTATATTGTGCTGCTAATCAGGTTTGGTCGTGATTGGAAGAAAATTGAAGAATTTGTGGGTACCAAGACAACTATTCAGGTACATCTTCAGTTTACTGACATAAATAGTTATGATCTTATTGTCAGATGATTAAGATCTCCTCAATGATAATTCTTATTAAATAAGGATATAAATAGATGTCATGATCACAGTTTGTCACACAATATAGCAATATCTTCTCTTCAGTTTGTACTTTTATGTATATGTTTTTTCTTGTCTTTCTTTGTCTCTAATCGCTTCTCGACAACCCTATTATTAGTTTCTTAGAATGTTCTTGATATCTTGTTCCTTGATTGATTATGTTTTCTTGGTCCGTTCTTAATTTCTCGAGTCATTAGCTAACTTTCTTTAGAGGAAAATATGAAATATTTTAATTGTTTGTTTTGGTTGTTTCCACGATCTTGTTGATTAGATAAAAAAGAATATACATAAGCAAATATTAAATGGGTAAAAAATAAAGAGTGGAGTGAAATGAAAATAACAAGGCTATATATATATATATGTATGTATATATATACATATATATGTATGTATATATATATGTATATGTATATGTATATATATATGTTTATGTATATGTATATATATATGTATATATATATATATATGTGTATATATATATATGCATATATATATATATGTATGCATATATATATGTATGCATATATATATGTATGTATATATGTATATATATATATATATATATACATACATGTATATGTATATATACATATATGTATGTACACATACATGTATATATATAAATATATGTATATATATGTATGTATGTATGTTTGTATATATATATATATTTTTTTTATTGCATCAATTTGAATAAACTAATTTACTTGTTTTGATTGTTCCTGGGCCTGTATTTGTTGTCAGATTCGTAGTCATGCTCAGAAGTACTTTCTAAAGGTACAGAAGATTGGGTTAGCTGCTCATGTGCCACCTCCTCATCCTAAACGCAAAATGGCTCATCCAACCCAGCAAATCAACCCCAACAATGGTTTTTATTCTGATTAGAAAGCAATATATTTCCTTTTTTTTGTGTTGGATATACCTTCCTAGGAATTTTGACATTTAATAGACTGCTTTTGATAGCGATAGTATCTGTGGATTGCCTTTATGCATCTTCTCGAATTCTTCCTGCATGCTCTGTCTGGGATAATACCTCAAATGATGTAAATTACACGCCCAGTGAAGCAACATCTCTACCTGCTTGCTATACCATCAGTCCTGATATTGAAGGTCTGTACTGTCCATAATTGTAGAAACTTCCTTTTCATTTTTTGCTATAATAATTCGTTTTGTCAATTTGGTTATTGTAGGTGACAGTGGAATATTTGGCAAAACAAGCATATATAGTCAAAACATTGATTGGAGTGGCAATTTAAGTGGATCTTTGTTAACTCATCGGGCAACAAAACAAAGAAACCCACATCCAGGTAATTTTCGCACTTGCCACAGACTGTACCCTTCACTTTTTATCGTTTAATATCTGATTCCAACTTCAACGAATTTCAAGTATGCAACGCATAAAATACTTGGGAAGCAGTAACTTTATGTAAATTAAGTTTGTTTTTGTATATTTATATGAATAGTTGAATTTACACACCACTAGCATATTCAATAACCTAAGGATCGCCATATTTTTAAAAGAAATGATCAAAAGAACTGGAAAAGCAGAGGCTTTTAGTGCCTTGCATTTATTCTATTTTTGCATGAAAGGGGAGGTCTGGTTATACTCCAACAATAGTGAAAAGATTATATACATGTACTTCTCTATAGAACCTTTCATCAGTGACCGCTTGGCATGTTTTTATCCTCTGTTTGAAATGGCCACGTACAAATTGTTTGTGGACATATCCATATTCTTAATACAATTAGTCATTTTTTTTTTATTTCTAGGAGGATATTAAGTATGTCTAAGTGGGATGGAAAGTTCCCAAGGGCAGCAAAGATCCCATTATTATGAGCGAACTGAAAATTTGCAATCTTTGGTACTCAGTAGTAATTCTTATCTTTTAAAGGTTAATTATTTTTCTCTTTGGACAGCACCTATATAGAAAAAAAACATCTAGGAAAACGTATACAACTTTTACACCCAACTCCATCCATATTATGTTATTGGAGATTGTTGTCATAATTACAATCACTTTCAACTATCTGATCGAAGTTGTGTACAATTGTTTTTTTCTTTTGATATGCATGTACAAATATTGTATGATATCATTCACCCAAAATGGGGTTTGAGTGAAGCAAATTGCATTTGTTTACATTTATATGTGAATTTGTACTAGTGATTGTACATTTATGTGCTGGTGATGCATTCAGTTGTTGGACCGCTGTCAAGCCTTATTCAGCATTTAATTTTAATTTCTATTCCATTAAGTCTCAGCACTGTTTACTATTTTCAAGTTATATCTGCATTGTGCTTATTACTTACTGTACCAGACTTTGCTCAAGTGTATACCTTCATTGGAAGTATGTTTGATCCGAACATTACATGGAGAGCGGAACATTTCTTTGAAAAGTTACAAGATGTCGATCCAGTTACTGCTAAAATTGTAAGTCAGCAAAATATTTTGAACTTCATATAGCCCGGTATTTACTATGTTTATCGACCATGGAACTTCCTTCAATTCTAGTTGGAGGAAAGAATTGTGAAATTTTAAGAATCTGTATAGTCAATTCTTTTTCATGGATATCTTCTAACTTGCCTTACTCGAGGAAAACAAAAGTCCTCGATCATCATGTAGAGTTGTATGGATGATTAATGGATATAAACACTAAACACATACCTTGGATCTAAAGAATGAACTTATGTCAGCTTGGATACTAAATTTAATGTTTCTATCATTGCTTCATTGGACTAATTTTTTCTATTCACATGCAGATTCTGATACTAATGAGGAATCTTGCTGTAAATCTGACTAGCCCTAGTCTTGAACCTCTGGTGAGTATACATTTTGACTATTGTTTTGTGTAACATCATGTGTTGTGATCTTACTGATCCTGCAGTTTGTAACTAGAAATATGTTGTGGCATTTTAAGATAACTGCTCTGTTGTATGGAATTTGTCTGTCATTCCTTTTCTCCTGTCTTACATGCATCAAGGCCTTCTTTTTTGGGCATCTTGCGAACAAAATACCCCTCTTAATTAAATTGCCTTCCCAAAATGATTTGAAGAAATTGCAAACTCGTTTACGTTTTATGGATTACTTGTTCTTTGGATATGCAGCGTGTGTTCCTTCTCCGATGTTAATTTTGTGTATCATTCCGTGCTTCGTTCCACAGATAAGGTGGCTGGGCACGTATGACGTGAACACAAGAAAGGTGGCAGCCATCGGCGGAACTGCTGCTTTTGCAGATATATAATCTTACCTTTCACTTCATCTGAATAACTTGTTTCCGTACGTGAAGTCTTCTTATGTTTATATACTTCATCTGAGACACACCTGTACTATAATTCTCCATGCAACAGAGGACATCATCAAAGATCCGGAAGACGTGAGTGAACAACTGGAACCATCGTCGAACGTTTGATTCCTGCAAAAAGACACACCGGATTACTCCCTGAATTCCACCATCCTCATTTGCCATGAATATTTATTGCATGTGTTTGAAGTAATTCTTCAACTTATGATGATTTAGTAATATTTGATACGATAAGTATTTGGATGACTAGTTTTCCTTACAGTGCATTAGTTTGATGATACCACTCGATACAATGGTACCAAAAGACCCTTTTCTTTTTTTTGATGGTTTTGAGTAGATCTTTTGAATCGTTTATTGCAATAAAGAAGTTTATTGTTGTGATGAAAGCCTTTACTCGCAGTAACTAAATTTGATTTGATTTAAATACTCTTATTCAAGCGTTCAATGCTCTAAAAAATAAATTGTTCTTTTTTATTTTTTTGGAAAGTTATAAATGAGAGCGGAATATGTTTTGTTTTATTTAATTGCTTCTGGAGATTTGACGGAGTCTGACAGCCCGTAAACCCGACCAAAATATCTGGATGCGGATCCTTTTGGTTCAAGATCCGATAAACTAATTGGATCGGATACGAATCCTGAATCCTGAACCTACACGCGATAATCTTAATATTATCGGATGCGGATTCGGATTTAGCTCGTTTCAATCCGATAATATGCTACCGTCGCGGTGGCATATACTGAGATACCAACGACCGTTGACGGGAGATTGCGACAACGATCGAAAGCAGCCACCGCCACTCCGGTCGCGGTGCCGAACGCTAATCCCGACAACTCTTCCGTTAGTACTGCACTTCTCTCTCCTCTCTTTCCCTCTCTCTCCCCGGCAACAAAATTTGGGTATTTTCCACTTCTTTGAAGATTCTGATGGGCATTAGTTGTTTTAGTCGTGTTTTCGTTTCTATACGAAGAAAAATGAAATTTTCATGTTGATTTTATTGTTAATTTGATGCTGACTTATATCAATTTGATGCCTTGTTTGCCATCATGTTGCATTTCGATTTCGATTTCATATCACGGCATGGCACTTGGTTAGGGCATTTTGGGATCTCCCTCGAAGAGGGCTTTTTAGAGTTCACGTTTGGTGTAAATTTCGAGGGGTTTTCGGCATAAATGTTTGTGAGGTTTAAGGTACTTTGAAAAAAAAAAAGTGAAAATGTGTAAATTAGGGCAAACATCAATCGATTGAGCTAAAACTTTGGGTTATAAGTTCTGAATCGCTTGGCCCGATGATATAATTATGAACTTTTAATCATTTAATGTAGTCAAGATCATCTTTTGGTGAAGTTTTGTTTACCAAGAGGATGCATGTTTTCTGTCCCAGTAGCACTAAGGTTTTCTCTCGTTCTCTTTATTTCCATTTTGCATACAGTTTCGATGACAAAACTGATTGAACCCTTGAACCCATGGTGAACTAATTGAACCTCGATTCTTCCTTCATCTTGTTTTTTCAGATATCTTGGTAGATTTCCTTTTTGAATTATTAAATGGTTCAATTGTTTGATCAAGAAAAGTGCAAGAAACCAAGCTTATACTGCAGAGATTGGTTTTGCAGGTAAACAAAGACTTTAGTTTCCTGTACTGATGACAATTTACTTTTCTTATGGATCATTTTCGTTCATTGATGTATGCCATTCTATGTGAATCTTTGCTATTCTCTATTTATGGACTTTCCTTCTGGATTTCTACTTCATATTCTGAAGCTTCATTACTTTAATCGTTGAGACCATCAAATATGACCATCTTAAGGCGATGAATATTATCATTTTACTTTTGAGTGAACCAAACATATTCAACAATGCTTGCCCTAGGAATTTGGATATATTACCAATCAAAGTTTGAGATGCTCATCCTCACCCTCAAGTCAACCATGTTAATTGGACAGATTACCCTACTGTGTTGTGGGAGAGTTCCTGGATAATGCTTAAAAAAAAGCATCCGAATTTGTCTATCTGATCTTGACTTTTTAAATTGGGAGTAAGCCTCGTAGAATCTGGAAGAGTCCATTTTGAGAAGGGAAGGTTGGAGTTTGGCGCTTGGAAATAAAAGCTCAAATTTATAGAGCAATTGAAGACAAAAATCCTCCGTCCATTAATCTAACCACTCGAGTCATATTTCATTCCATTGATGCTTGGACTATATGCATTACGACAAAGGTTGGAACGTGGATATCTTTCTTGATCAATGTGTGTGAACTCAATTCAGGCATGATCGCCTGTGGAGAGAGTAAAATGGGTTTCATCAGGGAAATGCAGAAACTTCACTTTCATTCTGGTTATGTGTTTGTACATAGGTGTATTCATAACCTCATATCGTAATATTTGTTCGTCATATTTTTATGTTGTGGTAAGAGTCCTGACGACTTTGGTAAGAAACACCTGAATGAACTAAAGTTTCATTTTACTTGATTGCAGATTAAAGAAAAATGGGAATAATTAGGAGCAGTTTCTCGTTTTTGCTAGGAGTCGGCTGTGGTGTTTACATTGCTCAGAACTACGAGGTTCCAAACATAAAGAAGCTTGTGAGTACATGGATGTTGAAGACGAAGGACATCGAAGAGACTTATCGAAAGCCCAAGAAAGATGAAGACTAGAAGCATTCACCTATGGAAAATTACACTTGAGAAAAAAGATCAGTAATACACAGTAAAAACCGCCCTGATGCCATAGAGTGGCACAAACAAATAAATCTTGGGATCACATTTGTAACCCCTGAGATCTTGGCAAGTAGTTGTTACACTGCATTCTCAGTTTTTGTCTATATTCATAATTGAAGTGTTTTCGCCAATTGCCTTTTGTTAATGTGAAATTTTGAAATAGAATTATCTTTTTTGGTACCAATCTGCATACAGAGTGGACTGTTATATATCTGATATGATTAGGGACAATTAGAACATTAACTTATCGGCACGCTGACCATCCTAACCAGATGGTGTACTTCCGAAATCGGATTTACCGACTGTGTTATTATAAATAAAAGTAAAAAAATAGTGGTAATAAATAAGTCTAATTAATAAATAAAAATTCCTAAAATAAGTCTGGAATTATTACATTGTAGAGAGCAAAATGTTACACAACCCATTCAAAGCCACGAAGTTAATAAGAACATTATTTGATGTATTTCTATGAAAATAATAATAATAATAATAATAAAGGAAATATAATTATTCCAATGCAAGGAAACCTAACAAGTTGAGGTAACATGGTAAATCTCTCTATTATTTTGAAAGAATCACTTCATATAGTACAACTGGCAAAAAAAATATATTCCCAAGCTGTACCAGAAAATAAAGAGCAGATGAAGAGGATGAATACAAATGAAACAAGTAGATGGAGAGGTTTAAAATACAATTATAATTTTCTTCATAAATATTACAATAGAAAGTATACAAGACATTTTTTTGTGTAAACTCAGATTCGTACAACTTCATATTATCACACAAATGTCTCTCATGTATATTCGAAAAAAATTTCAAGTATATATTGTAAGCATAAAACTATCATTATCTTAAAAAAATTTAAAATCAAAATCAAAATTAAATAATAATAGATCATGATCAAGCTTATATACCTTTAGATGTCATAATCAATAAAATATCTCTGTCGGATCTAGTAACATAACATAGTCTATAAGTAGCAAGCATCGATCCTTAAAAACTAGATTAACTTTCTCCTCTCTTTTTATCATCCACGAGATCACAATAAGTGATGGAGTAAAGACTAACAGATTTACAATATCTATCCATATATATAATCCCTGAATGATCATGATCATGTCTATATATATATAGGCAAGAGTAGATATTAATTTAGGAAAGTTTCTCGATTATTTTTTCTATTAATCGATTATCCTAATCAGAATCTAATTAAAATTTTAATATATTTTATCCAATTAAATATGATTCATATAATCTCTTAGCTAAATTGAGGTGAAGAGAACAATTCCATGCTCACTTAAGCTGGCGTAAACTTACAATCGGAAGTAAGCACAGGTATGTCGATAAGCACAATACATGCAAATATAAATATATATATCAATTAAACATAGGTTATGTATGGTGCGAAATTAGTAGGGAGATCGTTGGCAGATGAGTCAAAATTGGGGCCAGCAAGCGAACAACACTTTGGATCCCATCATAAATTATCCTCTTATATTTCATATTGAATTTGCTAGTTTCGACTCTTACACATGAATTGAAGTTCCTCAAAGAGTTCTCTTTTAATCTTTATCCCACAATTCATGACAGAAACTGATCAACTTTCATTCATGACTTTAGTAGAAACTTTGACTTAATTATATATATATATAATAGAATTTTCTATCCCGCCGTATTAAAACATTCGATCATCGATTAAGTAAGAAATTCGATCATCGATTAACTTTATACTTTGCGAGAAATATTATATTAAAAATCTAGAAATCTTATGTTTTCAATCAAGATTTTTTTTTTAAATATTGTTAGTTAGTTCAACTTCACCTTCTAATCAACTTTTGTCGATGCTTTTAATCCAAATAAGGGGAGTTAATTGGTAAAGTTTATCCACTCTTTTCTAGAGGTGTATCCACTCTTACTATTCCACAAATGCTACTTAACAATCACTTAGAATCTTGACATCAATTTTCATTCATAAATCTAATAGAAACATCTAATTTTTCACGGTAAAAGGTATCGTTACTAATTACGATTCAGTCTCAACAATCATTCAGGTTTTGATATGTTTTGTCATTAAGAAAAGAAATTGAATCATTGACTAACAAAATAAATTTTATCGAATATTATCTTTAAAATATGGAAATTGTGTCTTTAGTTATGTTAATTCCGACCGACTTTTGTTAAAATCTTATAATCGAAATCTTATATTGAGATATCCATAATAATAATAATAATAATAATAATAATAATAATAGTATTATTATTACTATGTAGTTGATAGATCTCAAATACGAATCCACGTAGGAATGTGTTGCATGCAATTTATTATCACGCATGCTTATACAAAATAGATAATCTTTCGATTAATTTAAAATTTGCACATAAATATTGTGTGTAAAATTAAATAATCAAATTAGGCATTTCCACAATTTGAACTCAATTTTTCACATATGGAATGACACATTTGGTTAGTGTTATGCCTTTCCACAATTTGATTCTAATTATAATATATGGAGGGAAGAATCATGGCATAGATTTCCCCTAATGTAATGAATTGTACAATTTTGTATCAAATGAAAGTGTAATTTTTTTTGTACTAAAAAACATTTAATGAATGGTTATGCATGCATGAATTTGAAATTATATTTTTCATAAGAATGTGCATGAGCTTGAAACTTCATTTGAACTTGTTATTAGAAATCATTTTATCCACAATTATGCATTCAAGCATGCACTATACTAATTAACAATTACATGTACATTAACATACGGATTAATTTTAATCTAGTTAACAATTATGTACACAAGCATGCATGTGGAGATAGATACATGTACATCAACATTAAGAAAGATTCATATAGGATCAATTTATACAATGTAATGCCTCTTTATACAGAGAAATTTAATTCATGAGTTAGATTCTAGTAATATGTTTCACCGATTCCTTAAACAACAATCTCCACTAATACATAAATATTTTTGAATATTTCAGTTAGAATATAGTGTTATCTTTCATTCATAAATATAATTGTTTGTCGCTCTAAGTAGTTAAAAATATTCTTTTTTAGATCGCTTTTTACGAGCGGATGTAACTGCGATAAATAACATAAAACGTCAATCTTCTTAGTATCCTAAAATCTTACATAGTGTAAGATTGGATGAAGCTTCTAAATAATAGGATGGTGCTACACCATACTTCACTCGACAAAAAGAAGATCTAATTTGAATTGTTTTTAGATTTTATCATTGAGTACTACAATGTCACATAAATAAGATAAAAACTAACTAAATTTATGACATGAGATATTAGGTTTAGGTTTAGATTTGGATCAAATATATTTGAATGAAAAAATATAAATCAAATACAATCTATAGCGACAACCAAATGTTCCCCCAATAAAAAAAAAAACACCCAAATAAGACATCATAAGTGGGAGTGATGCCCTCCTCATACATAAGTCATAAATGATAAATCTAACAATGAATCGTCTGCCTCTAAACCATCAATTGGATCTCATCCTCCTCTGACACTCTATTTGTATTATAAGTGTGCCGACTTTGAAACAATTAAAAATGAAAGCCTTTATGTGCATACGACACACATCACCTACTTCGGTTATAAACGACATGCCACGTGGATCCGATCACGAGACGACACGTCACCTAACATTTTCTGATCGCGTCGGGCCACGGTGGCCCTCGGAAGTTTCCCGAAAGTTCCAGCCTTTGAACTTTCTCACCCAGAAAATACACGAGTGGGTCCCACGACGGCCGCGCCATTGACCCAATCGCGAGCGGGTGACGGGAGAGGAGAGTCGGGTAAGTGGTGGCACATCAGTCGGGAATTAATGCTGTAATGGCGTTATAAGAACGGTGTGGGTCCCGCTCGGCCTATCTCGCCTCGCCAAGCCGTTGCTTTTCCCAAGGGCCGATCGCTTGCTTTGAGGGATCGCTGTTCCCGTCGTAGTGAGACAGCGCTACGGGAGCGAAGAACTCCGACCCAAGACGTCTGCTTCGGATCGCAAGCCCGTTTTGATTTCCCTCCCATTTTCGATTTGTTCTTCATGACTGGGATTGCCTGATCGGTAACTGGGCCTCATGTCGGTGAAAGATTAGGGATTTCTTTCTGTTCTTCTGGCGGGGAGATTGTTGCTAGGGTTTCTGGATTTGGGATTTTAGATCGGTCGGTTGATTACCGGAAGCGTGGGTTCGAGGGATTTGTAGAAAAGATTGGTTTCTAGTTTAGGGATTTCTGGTCGGAACGTGGTGGGGATGGGGAAAGGAGGGCAGGATGAGCGGAAGAAGGGTGGATTGGATCCCCCGACCACGAATTTTCCGGCCTGGGCAAGGACCGTCCAGGAGTGCGAGGCTGAGTTCAAGGTTTCGGCAGAGTACGGGCTCCGATCCGATGAGGTGCTGAAGCGACGGGAGATTTATGGGTTGAACGAACTCGAGAAGCACTCTGGGCCGTCGATCTGGCAGTTGGTTCTCGAGCAGTTCAACGACACGCTGGTCCGGATCCTCCTTGTGGCTGCCGTCGTCTCCTTTGTGCTCGCTTGGTACGATGGGGATGAAGGTGGCGAGATGGGGATCACTGCCTTTGTCGAGCCGTTGGTGATCTTCCTTATTCTGATAGTGAATGCGATCGTGGGCGTTTGGCAAGAGAACAATGCCGAGAAGGCACTTGAGGCCCTGAAAGAAATCCAGTCTGAGCATGCTGCCGTTAGAAGGGATGGGAATTTGATTCCGAATCTGCCTGCTAAGGATCTTTTGCCGGGTGACATTGTGGAGCTCAAGGTCGGAGATAAGGTCCCGGCAGATGTGAGGATTTTATACCTGATTAGCTCCACTGTGAGAGTAGAGCAAGCATCTCTTACCGGAGAGAATGCTGCTGTGAATAAAACCAACCACCATGTTGAGCATGAAGACATAGATATCCAAGGGAAGGAATGCATGGTTTTTGCCGGTACCACTGTTGTGAATGGCAGCTGTGTCTGCTTGGTCACACAGACGGGCATGAACACTGAAATTGGTAAGATTCATTCGCAGATCCATGAAGCTTCACAGAGCGAGGATGATGCACCATTGAAAAAGAAGCTGAATGAATTTGGAGAGGTCCTTACGGCTATAATTGGAGTAATTTGTGCTTTGGTTTGGCTTATCAATGTGAAGTACTTCTTTACCTGGGAGTATGTCAATGGCTGGCCAAGCAATTTCAAGTTCTCTTTTGAAAAGTGCACTTATTACTTTGAGATTGCTGTGGCCTTGGCTGTTGCAGCAATCCCAGAAGGGCTGCCTGCGGTGATCACTACTTGCTTGGCACTGGGTACACGGAAGATGGCACAAAAGAATGCCCTGGTCAGGAAGCTTCCTAGTGTTGAGACTTTGGGTTGCACAACTGTGATATGCTCTGATAAGACTGGGACATTGACCACAAACCAGATGTCTGTTGTAAGGCTTGTTGCAATGGGGCGCTGGACGGATACACTTAGAAGCTACAAAGTGGATGGTACCACATACGATCCTCATGATGGGAAGATCTATGATTGGCCAGCCAGTAGCATGGATGTGAATCTTCAAATGATTGCTAAGATTGCAGCTGTCTGTAACGATGCAAGTATCACTCAGTCAGGACATCATTTTGTTACCAGTGGTATGCCGACAGAGGCAGCCTTGAAGGTAAGAATACATATGGTTGCTTCTTGCCAAAGTTCATTCCTATTAGTAATTTTTAACTCAATATCAATTATCTAGTTCTTCTTAAAAATAATGTAAAGTTTTTGTAGCCAAGTTTCATGGATTCCTTTCGACTGTAAATAGGGGGATCTAGCTAGAATATAGGGCGATAGGCCCCCACTGACTTCTATTCGTTCCCCAACAAGTGGATCTTAAGGCACGAAAGGAAGACTTGGGCGCAAGGAGAAAGGAGATAAAGACCAGAACGGAACTCTTCCTCTTCTTCTCTAGGTTCCGTTTCCGTTTCCGTTCCTAGCGAGCTAACATCAAACAATTCCCTTCCAAACTATCCTACTGCTATTCGCTTGCCAATCACCTCCAAACTCAAAACAAAGAAAGCCCAGTTGGGATGGCAAAAGAAGGATTCCCATTCCCCTGCCTGGCAAGAGACTGCATGTAAAGATCTAACAATCGAAGGAAGCGCTTACTTCACGTAGTAAAGCCTCCAACTCGATGAAGTACACTCTCAGCGAGAAAGAATGAAAGTGGAACTGCCAACTCAAACCGACGGTAAAGGAACTCGCACTATTGATACGTGTCAAAATACTTACATACTTACACTTTTGGGAGGAGCGGAAATCCACTTCTGGAAAAGGGACTGCACCAATCCGAACTCACAAGGTAGGGCGGGTCACCTATTCCCTCAGCTGGCACAACAGCAAAGATATGGCCCACAGCTCGCTAGGAACTTCTTCTAAATAAAAGGGCTTTACTTAAGAGTGCAATTATATGATATGGGCTTAGCCTTAGGAGCTTACCTTAGTGCTTCCAATGAATCAAAAAGATTATGATCAGAATTATGACTGGCAATCGACTTTCTTTATCATATAATATGAGAAAGCACTTTCGTTAACTGTATTGTTTATTCGCTTGCGACTTAATAGTATTGAAGGAAGAGGGGGAGTGCCAACTTGAAGGGATATCTACTGTTTTTACGGTATATTGAAAGTCAAAAGTCAACTATAGAAATTTAAGCTTTTTTAAGTCACAGTAAGAAGGTATCTGTTTAAGTTCATCTATATCTGTTTTAAGTGAATCTATTCTCCTCTCCTCCCTTTGGGGTTATGTTATCCTGAGCCCCCCCACCACTGCAGTCTTAGTGTGATTCCGTCTAGCACTAGCAAAAGAGAGTGGCATTCCCCTTGGTTTCACCCAGCCGATAGAAGGTTAGATTAGGAAGTGGAATTCTGCTCTAGGCGAAATACAAAGAAGGATATTCTTTCTTTCTTTTCCAGCCCTGATTCGGCCTTAGCTTAGTTACTGAGGAAGCGGATCTCTATCTACAGGGATTCTAGGCTCACCGGTATTGGAAAGTCGCTTCTTTCAAACTTAGCCTAGCCTATTTGGTTCTTGGGTTTTTTTTTTGTTCCTGATGACTGCCCTAATTACTTTCTTTCGTTCATTGACATCACAAGGCTTGTTTTGAAGTGCTTAGGATTTTTAATTTAAAAATGAGAAGTTGAGTCCTTGCCTAGGTGAAATACACTATGCACCTTTTTAATTAAGTAATTAATGACAGAGGGAAGTTTAGAGTATCATAGCATGAGTAATTTTCAGCAGTTATACTAGACAACATACTATAAAATAATTATCTGTTCTATTTTGCTCTTGCTACGAAACTATTAGTTAGTAGTTAAGCTGTGTGTATCTCTATTTGAGTCGTATGTATTCAGATGTGACTTGAGAGGTATGCATGTAATTTGGTTTTTTTGATTTGATATTTACTTGACCTATCTTTGTTGATGAATGGTGAATATATATCGATCAGGTTTTGGTTGAGAAAATGGGACTTCCTGGAGGATATGATCCTTCTTCATTGGACTCGGCTGAAATATTAAGTATGTTTGAAGCCTTAAGTGCAGTTTATAATTCAATGATGTAGTTCAGATTTTTTTTGCATGCATGCATGGCAGTCTATTTATTAATTGACATATTTTTATAATTGGAGGGTGCTGTAAATGGTGGAATGGAATTGCCCAGAGGGTTGCAACTCTCGAGTTCAATCGCACTCGAAAATCAATGGGAGTTATTGTGAAATCAAAATCAGGAACCAATTCTTTACTTGTGAAGGTATTTCTCGTTTTCTATCCATCTAGATAAAGATTATTTGGAATCATTCTCTGAATGTAACTGATGGACAAATAACCATTTGTGTTTCTTGGCATCCATGTTGAGCATGTTGGTGCATCTTATTCATTGAGAAAATTTGGTACCAAATATATAGATAATGTACTGCTTTTAAGCTCCTGGCGTCCGGCATATCTATATTGTGCTAGTAATGTGTGCGAGTATAGTATGAAGTCACAATGGCCCATATAGCTTATGCATCCATTGTCCTAGGAGAATATCCATGATATATGGACTGTGAAAACACTTGATGTTGGTTTTATCTGCTGACGAGGTTCTATTTTTGGTGTATGTTAAAAGGGATTTTTCTTTCTCTTTTACACTGTTATCTCTTTCTATTTCTTAGTCTGTTGTGGATGTATAATTCGTTCCTACTTTGTTTCTCCTAGACATATTAATTATTCTGCATGCTTTGCAGCTATTAAGTATTTGGAGGCTCATACGAGACTTTATCATTTGAACTTCTCTGCAGTATCATCTGGCTGGAAAATCTTTACTATAATAAATAATCAAAGTTACATTGTGGCAGGGTGCGGTGGAGAATTTGTTGGAAAGAAGTACCCACATTCAGCTGCTTGATGGTTCTGTAGTGTTGTTAGATGACAGTTCAAAAAATCTGATTATGAATGCTCTGCGTGAAATGTCAACAAATGCATTGCGCTGTTTGGGATTTGCCTATAAGGATGATCTAGCCGAATTTTCAGCATATGATGGAGGAGACCATCCAGCTCATAAACTTCTGCTTGATCCATCAAATTACGCATCCATTGAGACTGGTCTCATATTTGTTGGATTAGTAGGGCTGAGGGTGAGATATCTTGTTTGAATGAGTCATTCACTGAATCTTTTCCTTTATGTGCTCTCCAGCCTTTGTCTGTATTCTGATTTTTGGAATCATTCTAGGATCCTCCACGAAAAGAGGTTTACAGAGCAATTGAAGATTGTAGAGCAGCTGGCATTCGTGTAATGGTCATAACAGGAGATAACAAGGAAACAGCAGAAGCAATTTGTCGCGATATAGGCGTATTTTCACCTGATGAAGATATACATTTGAAGAGCCTCACAGGCAAAGAGTTTATGTCATCCAATGATAAGAAGGCAATTCTGAGGCAAAACGGTGCTCTTCTGTTCTCTAGAGCAGAACCAGGGCATAAACAAGAAATTGTGAGATTGTTGAAGGAAGATGGTGAGGTTGTTGCAATGACAGGGGATGGAGTAAATGATGCTCCTGCTCTGAAAATGGCAGATATTGGTATTGCGATGGGCATTGCTGGGACAGAGGTCTGTTCTATCCTGCTTCTTATTTGTTCTTTTATTCGTTTTGTTCTTTGTAATTATGTATTGTGGTATACGAGTAAGAATTTTCCCATGAGGTATGGTGAAATCATCATATGAACAATGATTAGCAGCTTAGTGTTCATTAAGCTATGTCTTTCCTTAATATCTGTTTCTATGATTTGTTAGCATTGACCTTCCTAATTAGGGTTATTCCAATTCATGGAGAAAGGCCTCCCAAGGTGACTAATGAGAAATAATCTACTTAATTGCTAAAAGGTAGCAAGTATATTACAAAAGTGAAATAAGATGCCTTAAGCAGGTCTTGAAATGCTTACTCTCAGGCTTTTGTCTTCTGCGCCTAATTACTTTTTAACTAAATCTAGGAAAAGTGAAATAGAATCACTCTTATTTATTCTCAGTGGCTCTTCCTAAATATTTCACAGCCTTTAGCTTATTTCTTTGCTCAGGCATAATTTGTAATTTCTTTTATGGTGGAACAATTTTCAGTTCTTATCGAGAAGGGAACTGGGATACTTTGTTTACAGAAATCAATATGAATCTTTTGGGGTGAACTGTTCTATAAATGTCATTAAAGATTTCAAATATATGTTTCTAAAGAAATAACTTATGTTTTTTAGTTAGTGGAAGGTCATATGTCACACTTAAGCTTCTTGTCTGTTATAGCCGAGTGACCTGTGTAGGGATTTCAAATCTCGGTTTGGCATAGCACCTTAATTGATGGCCTTGACTTTCTAGCAAAAGCTTGTAGTGCAGGCTTCATTTGCACATTCCCAATTGTTCTGGCCAAAGTATTTAAATCTCAGTGCAATAACATTTTAGGTAACTAATCATTGCTATACCAGAAGATCTACTGATCTGTACTGCTTGATATCAACAGAAAAATAATTAAAAAACAATTCAATACTGATCGGTTTTGATCTATATAGTCCAGTACCAGTTCTTCTTAAGAAAGGTAATTACTGGGCAGTATGTACCACTTCAACCAGTATTTGGTTCCATGATGTGTAGGGTTTGGACTATTTCTTTTAGTAGCATTCCTTCTCCTTTAGGCATGACCTAAGTTTGTAAGCAACACAATTTGAAGTTTCAGCCATAGCCTGTGGCCAGATTGAAATGTTTTAATAATCTTGACATTTCAGCAAATCTGGAATTTTTTTACTACTTTGCTTACAACATTGTTAAAAAAATAAAGAAAATAATGAAAAGGGTAATCAATGGAAAGAAAAACTAATTATTTTTCCTTCTGGTTATTGAAAATAATGTTTGATGCAATTTTATGATAACATGAATTTAAAATTGAACAATTGCATGAAGCTATTAAAAAACTAAATTTTAATTAGTTTAGAGCAATTGAAGTTCATTAAGCCATAAGAAAATAATTGAAGTCCCATAGACTTCTATTTGCTTTATCCACTTAAAAATAATTGTTTGTGCTTCTGCTGACTGAAATACATGATCCTGATCTGAGATGCTTGATGACTACTGCTGGATGGTTATACTTCTTCCTTTTTCTCTATGCTGTTAGCCATCAGAATACTTGTACGGTCTTATGATTTTGGTGATGGTGAGTGTTGTTTATTGAGTTAAAAGACAAGGGCCCGTCTGCCATATTAGTTCCCTGCATCAGCTGTCTTTTAGTATCCTTGAGTATTTCTTCTTCCAGGTTGCTAAGGAAGCCTCAGATATGGTGTTAGCAGATGACAATTTCAGCACGATAGTGGCAGCTGTTGGTGAAGGAAGATCAATTTACAACAATATGAAAGCGTTTATAAGGTCTTAATTTTTTCCTTCTGTTCACTCATTCAAGCCATCTATCTGAGGCTATTTATCAGATGTATAATTATATCTTTTTGATCATAGGTCTTGATGTTTTATGTACCTTGCAAAATTTCTTTGATGATCTTATGTACGCGACTCTTTGCTAATTGCAGATACATGATCTCCTCAAATATTGGTGAAGTTGCTTCCATTTTTCTAACAGCAGCTTTAGGCATTCCTGAGGGGCTGATACCAGTTCAACTTTTGTGGGTCAATCTTGTTACTGATGGCCCTCCTGCAACTGCTCTTGGATTCAACCCACCTGATAAAGATATTATGAAGAAACCACCTCGAAGAAGTGATGATTCACTAATTACTGCATGGATTTTATTTCGTTATATGGTGAGTCATTCTTTTTTATTGTGATTTATATTACTAATGAGTTTGCAATGAACATGAATGGACTCTATCAATACATTATGGATTTTGCTGTTATTTGATGGCTAAGCCAGATCCTAATTCTGATTTCCTCTGAGGATGAACCTCTGCCTCCTGCTTTGACTTGACTTTGATTCAGTTTCTACCTTGCTTGACGATGGCTTGATTTTAATCTCCTGCTTCTGTTACATACCATAAACTATGGTTATTTATACACCCATATTTCTTATCCATATTAGTGTTGTCCAACCTATATGTGAAGATAGCCACTAAAGTAAGGGGGTGGATATTTAGAAAATCTTGAACTTTGGGAGAGGGGATAAAGCTTTCGGATAATAATGTTTTTGCAGCCAATCCACCATAGACTTCAGTTTTGCCTATAGATTGTACTTTCATAACTTTTATCTTCCAATTGACTGACTAGGAGTCATTTAATGGAAATTACAGACATGAATAGGAGCTGAGGTGTTGTTGCATGCATTACTAGTTGCACCTTCTACCGAAAATTTATATGCTCATAAATACGGTACCTGCTTCATTCATGGCAGCTGACTCTTATAATTCCTTGTATAGGTGATCGGGCTATATGTGGGCATTGCCACTGTAGGTATCTTCATCATATGGTACACTCATGGTTCCTTTATGGGCATTGACTTGAGTGGTGATGGCCATACTCTTGTAACCTATGCTCAGCTTTCTAACTGGGGAGAATGCTCCTCATGGGATGGCTTCAAGGTCGCTCCATTCACTGCTGGTTCACGTCGCTTCACCTTTGACACTAATCCCTGCGACTATTTCCAGACTGGTAAGGTGAAGGCAATGACCCTCTCGCTCTCCGTCTTGGTGGCCATTGAAATGTTTAATTCCCTTAATGCATTATCGGAAGATGGGAGCCTCCTGAGCATGCCTCCCTGGGTTAACCCGTGGCTTCTCTTGGCCATGTCAGTCTCATTTGGATTGCACTTCTTGATACTATATGTCCCGTTCCTGGCCCAAGTGTTTGGAATAGTGCCTCTCAGTTTCAACGAATGGCTCCTGGTGTTGGCGGTTGCTCTTCCGGTGATCCTCATCGACGAGGTTCTCAAGTTTGTCGGGCGCTGCACAAGTTCTTCAGGTGCCAGGAGACGATCTGCATCCGCAAAACACAAGGATGAGTAGATGCTAACAGATTTGGAGATGCATTTCGACAATTTTGCGTCACCACGGAAGGTAAAGGTTGTTCTGGTCCCTCATTCAGTTTGAGAATTAGGCAACCGGGATCTGTTCAGAAACCGACCTGGCAATGAACTTATATTGGATTTGGAGATTCTCGATTTTTAAGAAACATTTTTTTGTCATGCTGGATTATACAGATCCATTTCATTGGTAATACTCATGATGTTAATGTTACTACGAGGGGAAATGCTCGTGCAACTGTAGATCGTCGCATGTGCAATGTGACAGTCAATAATTTCTATCTAGTTTTTGTTTCTATAGGGGAGAGAATGTTGTTCGTACTTCCCTGCAGTTCTTTTGTTATCTTCAGCTTCAATATTTTGATCTTGGGGCCCATTCACTCTCTTCTGCTACGTACGTCAGCGCCATGTCAGCAACGGCCAAACAGTCAATTATTCTTGCTGTTGATGTTATTTTAATTACCATCAAGATTATTATGAGGAACACGCACTTATCCATGACATCCGCACGCACAATGCACGTGCTGCGTCGGGTCACCTGTCCTGGTCCTCTCCCCCTCTTCTTCACCTCAACACTTCAGCTGGGTCGGCCTCGCTCTCACCGTACCCGGTGGACTGGAGGTATAATTCTCCGCCTGCGGAGCGCTTCAGCCGTCTGATCCCGCGATGAAGCAGCTCCACAAGCAGACCAGCCACCAGATCCCCACCCACGCCGCCAAGCCTGCCAAGCCCCCCTCCCGGTCTGCCGCCTCCGCTTCCGCCCCCACGTCCTTCCTCCGCGCCGCAGCCTGGTACCTCCTCCGCGAGCAGCGCCTCGTATTCGTCATCGCCGGCGCCGTCATCGCTTCCACCTTCTTCCTGCTTCATCCCTACCACTCCTCCTTTCCCCTTCTCCACACCTCCGATCGCTTCTTGCACGAAGGGTTCCTCCCCGGCGTACGCCACCCCTCTTTCTCCTCCCCCTCCTCCTCCGGCGGCAGCGTCGCCGTAGGTGGCGGTGGGCGGAGGGTGCCTGTGGGGCTGAAGAAGCCGGCGAAGCGGATCGTTGTGACCGGAGGCGCCGGATTCGTCGGGAGCCATTTGGTGGACAAGCTGCTTGCCAGGGGGGATAACGTGATCGTGATCGATAACTTCTTCACCGGGAGGAAGGAGAACGTGGTGCATCACTTTGGAAACCCCAGCTTCGAGCTGATCCGCCACGATGTCGTCGAGCCGATCTTGTTGGAGGTGGATGAGATCTACCATCTCGCTTGCCCGGCGTCGCCAGTGCACTACAAGTATAACCCAATCAAGACCATTATATCCTTCTGAGTTTGCTGATGGTTTCCATTTTGTACATTTTATTCAGGATTCATACTTTGATTTGAGGAATTGATGCCTTTGACCTGAGATGGATTTGGAAGAAAAATTCGTTTCTGCTCTAAATTATGTCGTAAGAATTGCTTTGGAAAAGAAACTATTTCCATAGATGATTTAGCCTCAAAGTGCAAATTTCTTTTTCAGTTGATGTGCATGAATTTATAGCTTGTTACTGTATCTTTTGTTAGTTCTTGTGTGATAATCTACTAATTCAAGTGTTTGTTGTTGATTTTTGTTTTTGCACTCTGCAAAGATAGGAATGACACATCTTGCTAATCTTATGCAACTTCTCAGCAATTTGTTATCCCTTTGTATTGCTGAATGTTTGATTGGATTCTTTTGGTATTGCAAATGATAGGCTTCTTGATGTAGCAGCAAAGATAATCTCTTATTCTGATAGAACTGTTTCAAATTCTTAACATTTGAGTACAAGACAAATGTGATGGGAACACTAAACATGTTGGGTTTAGCAAAGAGAATTGGAGCTCGATTCCTATTGACAAGTACCAGTGAGGTGTATGGTGACCCACTTGAGCACCCACAGAAGGAGACCTATTGGGGCCATGTCAATCCTATAGGTGGGCAAACTTCTTTTCGATCTCATTCATGCTTCTTTGAACAAAACTATGAACCCTACTGACACACTCGTTCTATTATTGCACACATCAGAAAGAGTGTTAAGCATTTCCATTTTGTTTGTACGTGTGTATGTTAATATACCCTCGAATACCTAAACACATCTTAATGTTAATGTTTATCGTCAGGTGTTAGGAGTTGTTATGATGAAGGAAAGAGAACAGCAGAAACTTTGACCATGGACTACCATCGTGGTGCAGAAGTTGAGGTGACTTTATGCAGTTACACTCGAAATAAAATCTTTTTCCCTTTGAATTGTTAGTTGCATGGTGAAGTAGTGGTGCACAAATGTGACAATGGCTAAATATGTGGTGCCACTAAAGAACCCATAGTGATTCAACTTCATGTTTGTTAGGTTTCTGATGTCTTACGCTAACACACACTTGCATAATGATACCAATAATTTTGGCACATGTTTTTCACTAATTAAACATGATCTAGTTGAAGTAGATCTTGAAATCATTTAACCAGGCAATATATCAGCATTAAGTTTAGATGTCTTTTTCCTTCTTAAACATGAAACAAAATTTGTGTTCATTTGGGTGCATATACATGTGAGACTTCTTGATTTAGGGCTTTATATATAATATTTCTCATCATTAATGAGGTGTATAATTCCATAATATTTTTGCTGTTGTGTATGTTTATAGTTTAATTTAATCAAAGTTTTGGATATTTGTACCAACAGAAAAGCTTCTCCCAACTGCATTTTGCATCATATGTCTTGGGAAAGAAGAAAAGTTCATAATTTGAAAACATAAATTAAAATATCATGAGCAAGTGAAAGTGATTAAAGCAATGTTGTTCATTGTAGAATTTGAATGATCCAGTGAACTTGATACCATAGACTCGAGCCTAATGATCCTAGTTCACCTTGATTTATTACATGCAAATCGATTCAAGCCTGACGGAGACACTTGGTAAATGCACCCTTTCTAATCACGGGTTAACAAACACTGTATGCACTGTTGGCATGTGCCATGCTAAAATGCAAATGAAGAAAAAAATTTGACCAGCCAAGGCATGGCTTGGTGTGACTTGGGACTGGAAAACACTTGCGACTTGAAAAAGTAAACAAGGGATTCCTTGCTAAGGATTGTGATCATTAGATTGTCTTCTGCCAAGATAGTGTCAGCACCGATAGCTGCATACTGGCTCATAAAAGAAACAAGAGATTTCATTTACCGTGTCGTTAGTGTATCTTTAGACTGAACCAACCCAAGAAAAAACTTTGCCAGGATAAAGAATTTAATGGTTCCATACTATTTTATTGCACTTATTATCTTTCTCGTCCTTGAGAAAATGTTTGGGAACAATCTGGCTTAATATTTGAAAGTCATATATTGCCCTCATGCAGATACTTTTCTTGGTAGCTCAATAGTTGCCTGATTTCTCCAAATAGAAAACTTGTTTATGAAATTGATATGTGGGATGCATTTTCAGGTCCGTATTGCACGAATATTTAACACATATGGACCTCGCATGTGCCTAGATGATGGCCGGGTTGTCAGCAACTTTGTTGCACAGGTATCTCTTCCTTCATGTGCAATATCTTTTCTTTTGTCATGTACATTCATGATCAGTTGCCATGAAGTATGAGTATAAGGATGTTATGATCATAGGAATTAAACTTTGCAGGCACTTCGTAAGGAACCTATGACGGTTTATGGCGATGGAAAGCAAACTCGAAGTTTTCAATTTGTTTCAGACTTGGTATGGAATCATGTTATCGTACTTTTTGTGTTCAAATGTAGATTTGATCTACGTGATTCCTCTTGTGGTTTTACGAATTGTTGCCTTAATTACCTATCTCTTTTGATATAAACCTATTTTTTTATTAGTCTGACCTTTTCTCCCTGAAATTTTGATGGTTGGCATGAATGACGGATTTGAAATGCTTCTCATCCTTGAGATATTTAAGTTTCTGAAGTCACGGATAATTGTTAAGATCCTGGTAACCTGAGATCAACATGGAGCTTGCTATCTGAGAATTCCAACTTAGGAACCATCCAGATATATTCCATCTATGGTTCTCATGGTAAATATATTAAGTTTATTCAGGGAAGGGGTTCATTTATATTGAGTTGAACAAATAGGAATTCCCACCATGTGGAAGTGACACCAAGAGTGAGATTTTTAATGGCTTAGGACTCTTCTCCATAGTTGTTGTGTTAGATGGCTATCATTCTCCTTAAAGATTCTTGTCAAGCCTTTTCTCCCAGAGTTTAAATATGTCAACATAAGAGTTTCACCATCGGCTTAAATTTGCCATTATTATCAATTTTACTTTGGGTTGACTGCACGCGAAGCACTATTATGGTATTTGTATACCTGAAATGTGTTCACTATATACTGCAAGTCCACAACATCATAAGATTATGTAGATATGGATAACAACTTAATTTATTATTAGCAGAGGATCATTTATGTATACTGGCTTAGTTCATAAGACAAATGCCCAGCAGACATGGTCAGCTGGAGTTTACAGTACATGTAAAATTTTATTTTTTTACAACTGTTCAGCTATCACAATAATAGGGCAAACGATAGTCATATTCTTAGACTTATCCTACAGTGTGTTGTTGCATGTCTATATGTAGAAGTTACGTCATCATGAGGTACTGGCCCTATAAACACTCCTAATATTTAGGTGTCCAATTCAAACATAAGATGCTGCAGAACCAGCGACATTGGTTTACAATAACTTTCTTGATGCTTTCTTTAGGTAGGTGCCTGGCATTTCTTTATTAGTTCCCACAATGTGCATGCTCTAAAATTAGCCTACTATGACTTCATTTGCTGACAGATGCTTATATCTTTTCAAAGAGTCATTGTTTGATGAAAAATATGGCTTCTCGTTGTTTTTGTTTATGCTGGTGTTCTCTATTGTTCTTGCTCGTTATAAGAAGGATTCCAAAAGGAGGAAAAGGGAAGAAAATTTTGATATTATTTTAATCAAGCACTGATATAGATCTCTATTAGGGCTTCTACAAAATACACTTCTTGATTATTATAAAAATTGCAAGAAATAAAGGTTGAAAAAGATCAAGACAGAATATGAATAGGAGGTAATTTAGGAGGTCTTTGCCAATCAACGTTTGCTCGGCCAACAAACTTCTGCACTTTTTTCTGTACCATACCGCACTTTCTTCCTGTTCTCACTTGCAGTTTCCTAAGTCAGAATTTGATTGAGATATCACTAAGAACAACGATCTTTTTCTCAGATCATTTATTCTCACGCATTAGATTCATGCTGGCAGAGTTACTAACATAAACTCTTTTTAACAATCTCGACATATGAACTTG